TGGAGGAATGATTGATTTTGGTTTAAACATCTGTTTTTCTTTTCTCCTTCCAATTATCTCCTCACAACTAATCTTAATTAGTAATTTCGTCTTGGAAAATGCATTTAATGTTTGTATCACTGAACCTTTCTAATAAGAGGCATTAAATTTTCACGTAAAAAGCCTATGGTTCTCATCTGTTAATTATCCCAGATGTTAGGTGATGATCCATTGGTTGATTCATTCTAAATGTATAGTGGCACTTTAGTTTCTGAAGCCTGTATTGTACCTTCTTGAGTTAGGAGAATCCTTATCCTTGCCATTTTAATCTTTTATTTTCATGCAAATCAAGACACTCCTAACCGGAATTTTAGGAGCCTGACTATTTATAAATTATTATATCTATGTTTGTAGTAATTTCTTTTTATTAATGTATGGTTAATGTACACAATGGTAGCAAGGTATTGTGAAACCAGTGATGCGTACTTTTAGATACAAATCTTTCTTGACCCTGTTCATTCTGAACATATTCAATTAACTAACTTTGAATACTCCTTTGTCATTGGAAATTCTTCTTATTTTATATCAACATATGCCCAAGAGCACAAATGGCAGCTAGGTAGTGTAAAACCATTGATGCATATATCTATATATAAATTCTTTTTTATCCTATCCGGTCTTCTTAAATTCAGTTAACTAACTTTGGTTAATTCCTTATCATTGGAAATGCTAATCATCTCTTTTCTTGGTTTTTTTAAAGTGAATAAGTGATGATGAGGTGGAATTAAGAATGATAACAACATATTGCTCCGGTCTTTAATATAGGACTTAATTGTTGAGTTGATTTTGGTCCTAAATATGAGACCCATTTTTCATATTTATCAATTTTCTCTAAATTACCCCTATAAATACTTCTTCAACCATAATCAAGTAAAAGAGGAAGAGGAGGTATTAAGAAAAATGATTATGGTATTTTAGGAAAAACGTGTCACATTTCTTATAATTAACTAACTTACCTAACTTTCTTAATCTAGTCAAATTACTTAAATGGGTCTTATATTAAGGACAGGAGGAGTATATAAACATCTGGATATCTTTCAGATTTAGTTGCTAACAGCTGACGTTCTGGTCTTCATTAGGAGAAATTTATCAACATCGCATTTTCTGAGGACAAGTAATGGGCATGATGTGACACACACACTGTATTATAGCTTTACATGGGTGTCACTAATTATGTGCGCCTATCTGATAAACGGCAATGCTGCATCACTTCTATGTACTTTGTTGCGGAAGGTTAAGAGTAAGCACGAGACTGGAATGCCAATCAAGTGTTATAGACTGACCATAGAATTGGCTCTTTGTGGCATAAATTTAAGATGGAAAATTCCTCTTAAACCCTCTTGCTGAGGGATTGTCCAGCCCTTATTAATTGCCTATTGGATAGGTTCTGAATTTTGAGTTTATCCAGGCATTGTTAAGCTTCTTGCTGTTTTCTTTTTCATTTTTTATTTGACAAACAGATGTCTACTGTGAAACTGTTAAATACCTGTTTCTTTCTTTCTTTGCCAAAAGTGGAAATTTTGCTTTCAGGTTTATGTTGGCTTCAGATTTACATTTTGACTCATTAAATATGATGATTTAAAATATGTTTCAACATTATCTATTTTCATCATTAGCTTTGTTTCGTAGGAAGCACCTGCTGTCATCAAGTCTTACTATGACAAAAGAATAGTTGGATGCCCAGGAGGTGAAGGCGGTAGGTGCTTCTTATGTTTCTTCATCTTCACTAGTTGATAAAAGTAGTATAATCTGGTGATTGCATTGAGGTGAACAACTTGTCTTGTCTGCAGAGGATGAGCATGATGTAGTCTGGTTTTGGCTGGAAAAAGGCAAGCCTCATGAATGTCCAGTTTGCTCACAGTATTTTGTGGTAAGTTGGATTGACGTTTAACGTATCATTTAATCTTATCCTTGATAATATTTTGGAATTGAGTATAGGTTAAAAGACACCTGTGTTTGCTAACTAACTTTCCCTTGTCCACATTCAGTACACCGAATGGAACAAGATAAAGAAAATGAATTTATAGATGGCAAATGCCTTTTTTGCCCCTTAATAAAAAATTGATAAAAAGAGAATTACTGTTAAGTAATAATAAGAGGAGTATGACAGGCATTATATATCTCAACTCTTTGAGTTTTTGTGCAAGGGAAAATGGAATCTTTATTAGTTGCAATAACAAAATGGCTCCCTGAGCATCAATTCCATGGGCCACTGCTTATCTTTGCGGTTAATAAACTTAGGCTGCTTATCTTAAGTCAACTTTCTGACCTTATGTCGTACAATATAGTGATAGAATCAGCCTGATTTGAAATTGAATGAAATTTCTATTTAGCTTAAGGCCAGCTCAGACCATATCTACTTACGGAGTAAGTCAGTAACTGGGAAACAGGCCCATGAAGCATATGTTCAGTAGTTAGGCCTCCTTAATTGATTAAAGTTCTACCTAAATATGTTTTTTCACCCCCTGCAACTGTTATTAATGACTTGAATTATGAATTACTTGGTGTCTTTTTCTGAGGCATACTATGATATATATACATATATATATATATCTACATTAGATATTTTACCTGTCCCTTAATAGAGGTCCGAATTTTGTAAAACTCACAATCCGAGGAAATACCAAAATCTATGTGATACCCCCTCCAGTCCTAAGTACAAGACATAGTTAACTACTTTATGGACATTAAGAAAATTGATTAAGTTGGTTATTTACCATCATTGTGTAAAAAATGTGTCATTTTTCCTCAAATACCTCTCTTAATGAGGGCATTTAGATGCGGAGGACAAAATGGGTGAGAAAAACTGTGAAATTTATGAGGGTAACATGGGGAAAAAATATTAAATGAGTGGGACAAAGAAGATTGAGGTGTACAAAATGAGTCTACATGAGGGGTATTTTTGGACATAAGTATTAATTATACCTAGAATTTTGTATTGGAACTAATATTTGGTGGGGAAAGCTGAAATTTGGGACCTATGTTAAGAGATGTAAGGAGGACAATTGTACATGCATAATAAGGCGTTAATGGTACCAGATTCCCTTTACAAGATGAATTCATAGCATGTCTTTTTATTATTTTGGTTCCATAGAGATTGGTAGTAAATGTTATCTGAAAAAATGCGGCCAGTGGGTATTAGGGCATTGGCCCTGTTAACATGGGTCCAACTTTTGCTTCTCTACTGCATAATGGCACTAATGACTCTACTTCGTATTTAAACAGCTGGAAGTGGTGGGACCCGGAGGACCACCTGATGGGCATGGCGATGACGACGAAGATGAACACCATTGATATCATCGTGGAAATTTCCGTCTGGAATAAATTCTGGAACGATGGAGAGACAATGTTTAGCATACTTTGAAGCCTTTTAAAAATCATGAGGCTTTTGTGTTTTTGTTGGTTTTTTAATTGGTCTATACCCTCTTCGATCTTTCAACTTTTGGGAGAGGTACTTTTCTGTGATTATTCAGACATAGGCTGGTCATTTCCTGGTGTTATGAGGTCAGTGTTAGATGATCATTTGTGCGGTGCCAAATAATTGATAGCAACTCATATTTCCATTCCAAATTTTCGAACCTTCAGCCTCTTGTCACCTAAATTACGAAAGGGGCGAAAGGGATCGTTTAGTCGAAGAATCATTTTCAAGTGAAGCCGTTAGCGCAGTAATCTTAGCATGGATTATTTCTAATTTTCATGCGTAATTTTTTTTCCAGTATAAAAAAGAAGAGTTAGATATTGATTTTTTTTTTAATAATTAGGACCTGTAATGTTTTTACATTTTTTCAATGAATGGATAGTAAATAATTTTGTGGTGAGCACTGAGCAGTTGTTTCGGTAGAACTGGGACGAACCGAAGGCTGGTTGAAGACGGAGCGGGCTTTACTTATCTGTTCCAAGAGCTGGTCTACAGAAAATTTTGTTTTAAGCATTTTGTTGCAACTCACATGATTATTTTTATTCTACATAAATAGAGGTTTAATTTTTACATATTTATTAGTTTTAATTAATTTTAACTGTTTTTTTTTAAGCCGTGTAATTTTGTTAATGAGATCTTATAAAAAGGTAGCAAGTCAAAACATCTCACTGGAGCTAAGAAAAGGAAGTTAACTCGTTAAATTTGTTTGAATTAATTTTTTTTTTTCATTTTTCTTCTATTCAAATCCGTTACACATATCTCCTTTCTCAACATCCAATCTGTATCACTATTAAATAAGAATAAAATTAAAATATTGATAATTAACTAGTCTCTAAGTAAGTTTTTTGGTTGCCCACCCAGCTCACCGGAGCTTTGCTCCGACTACATCTGGATCCAACCTGCATCGCGCACCTGGCTGTGGTGGGTGAGTCTCCCAACGGAGATTTCTGCATATGCTGAAGCTCGAACTCGAGACCTCGCTTAAACGGTACCAAGCCGCTTATCACTTGGACCAACCCTAGTTGGTAGTTTCGAAGTACGTTATATTATCGACTAACGATGTTTTTTCAGCAAGTGTCCTATATTTTGGGCCGGTCTCAATATGAGGCCGTATAATCGATCGGAAACCAGCGGAGGAGAATCGAGAAGACGCTATTTTATGGAAAAAGGACACTTGTTCTTCCTTGATGCCCAACACAGTGAGAGCTGGGTGGCCCCTTTTTTTTTTTAAAAAAAATAATAATCCCAAGTTAGCCTTTATGTCACAGAAAACTCAACGGGTTTAGATTAATCTGGATTTGGCCGTCGTAGGACCCCAAAGGCAACTAGCCTACCACTAAGTATTTAACACTGCTGCAGGCCCAAGGCTCGAACTCAAGGCCCATTGGTTAAGTTATGACGACCCTATAACAGTCGACCTAAGCGCTTGATGGTAGAGTCAGGTGGCTTTTTGCAAACATTGTCTTAATTATTAAAATAATTCTTTAACAAAATTTTCATTCTTTCCAAAAGATTTTATTATATCAAGAATAAAGACATAATTGAATATTAACTTCTTCTTTTTGGCATCATTTCACATGGATTTGTTCTATCTTAAAACATAAAATTACAATCTTATGTGTATAAAAAATTAATTTCAATGAGGGGAAATAAATTGAATAATTTCTTAAATAGTTGATGGGACCGAAAAGGAATTTATGTCATTTGAAAATATATAGAATTTTTTTTTAAAAAAAAAGGTAAGCATACAAGTGCAAGACATTAATTTTCTCCTCGTGTCCAGAAAAAGCATATACAAAGGACGAATTAAAAAAAAAGCCTCCAGCCTCACCGCCCTACATTCTTTTCTCCAAAAAAGGAACAAAATGAAGTGTTAATAAAATAATGCACTGAGATATGCTGAAATGACATATATATAAAATATTCTGAGCCCAAGAAATGCAATATGATTCTAATAAAATCTAAGTCAAGTAAATGGGATCAGAATAGAATAGATTCAAAGAGAAAAAAAGATAGTTGTCACTCTCTTTTCAGATTGAATTAATAGAGAAAGGCAAATTTAGAAAAGAGACTACGCCAATTTCTATAGAAACACCTTACCTACCAATATTCCCTCTACATCAATCCCATCATTTTCTTCAATACTAGTTTACTTTTCCTTATATATATATATATTCTTGCTTAGGTTTACACACCAAGAAAAGAATATTAAAAAAGAGAAGAATATTACTGACTCACTGAATTTTGAGTTCAATGTACGGATGAGGAAAATGGGATTAAAAGATTTTTAAAATCTAATTAGAATAATCTAAAAAGCTAGAGACTTTAATGATATTGGTGTGAATCCTCCTAAGTAGTTCAGCTAAGTTGTACCAAATTTCTTGAACTTTATGTCATACTTGGAGTTTTCATACTTATGTAGATAATTCTTATATTATTAATTTTATTTATTATTCATATGCTAATGACTTAAAGTTTTAAATTTTTTATCTGCATATAATTCAAAATTTGAGGAGCTATATGCAAACAAAAACTTGGGATAGTTTGGGATTATTTTCATAAACCTAAAACTTTAGAAGGCCAAGTTTATTATTAAGTTTTAAAGGTTAAGAATAAGAAGACTATCAACATGTAATGGTGTGGTCATAAATAGTGTCACATAAAATCAAATCTTTGTAAAAATTGGACAGGAGAATATAGCACTTGGTTTTCCATCCGCCATTAATTCCTAACTCATTTCCAACTGAAATTTTTTAAAAAATTTAAATGTTATTAACTTTAATTTAAAATTTAATAACTTTTTGACTTTATCTTTATTTAATATATATATTTTTTCAAAAAGTAGTAACCTATATAATATTAAATGAAACATAAAGTAATACTACATCCGGTTCTAAATATAAAATTTACTTTATAGTATAAATTATACTACAAATCATATATTATATTTAAGACAAAAAATGATACATTCATATAAAAAATTTAATAAATTAATTTATAAATAGAATAAAAAAACCTTCTCCCTGTGGATACTAAGAATATGTTTAACGCTGGATCATTTATCTCTGTGAGTGCTCTAAGTTGGAAATATTGATAGCTCGCATGTTAATACCGGAATTTGCCAGAGAAATTGTAAGGGACTAATTTTTTTTAAAAAGAAGATAAATAAAAGCATCTCTGTATAATAGCTTTTTGATGTATATGAGTTTTGAGTTGCTATAACTTTTTAACACTTCTTAAAAAATAATCATAGAGTTTGAAATAACTTAGTTTTTATATGATATCATTATTTTATTTTGCCATAAAAGATCCACCCTAACAGTTTTAAAAAAAAAAAAGAATCTCAAAAAAAATATTTAAATTTTAAAATTTTAAATCAGTTTTGTTCACTACACTTTAATAACAATTAACAATATTTAAGAGGTAAATAAGAACACATTTTTGTAATCATCTCTGATTTGAGATTTTAAAATTTTAGAGGTATTTTTATGAGATTTTTTCTTTTAAAAAACTATAAAAATTTGTATGATTTATAAATCATACATAGAATGAAATTTATATCAGACACTTCGTAAAATATTGAGCCCTTTACTAATGTAAAAAAAAAAAAAAGCAACATCCACAATGCAAAAATTAATTTTTTATTAGAATTTTGATGATATATGAAACATACCAATCCAATGTTTAACACAAATCACTTATAATATATTCTTGCAAATTAAAAAATACATTAAATTGATAAAAATTTTGGAATTTATCCTTATTAATGTTTTCTCTCACTCTCTTTGCATTTACAAATCATTTTCACATTTTTCTCTCTTTCTATTAAAAATTAAATAAGAATAAAATTAAAAAAATAATCATTAAATTCCCTATAAATAATTTATATTTATGATAAAAAAAACTTCCCCTAGAGAGTGGTAAAGTACACTCTATATGAGTTCAAAGTGGTTCATCATTTGAGTTTGACTTTAAATGATGAGTTTAAATAGGTTATGTTTAATGATAGAAAGAGATCAAACCTAACATCAAAGCAATTTTGAAACTTTGTTAAGCAATAATTAAGTTAATTCTGCTTTTTATAGCGGCTGGCTCAACTCATAATGATTGGATGATTTATTTTTCCCCCCTCTTTACTTACTTTTACTTCAAAAGAAGGCAGGTCTTGATAATTATTGTGTTGCTCATAAAGTTCAATAATTGTTGTCTAGTAATACAACGTGCAACTTCAAGACTAATTAACACAAAATGTAATTAAAGTTATAAAAAAATATAACTTTTTTCAAATAAGTTAAATTAAATAGGAGTGTTACATTACTTTTCTTAACAATATTTCTCTTTCTTTTTTTTTTTAATATTTAGTAAGTAGAAATAACAACAACTTGTGGAAGTGATCATTGGGACACAGTTTTTCTTCTTTGATTTCTATCACTAGTAAATTGATGATAGTCATATTTCAAAAAAAAAAAATTTTAAATACAAATTTCATATATTTATTCAAAAAAATTATAAATATGAGAATTTAATTGTAAATAAATATGAGTAAATTATAAAATTTAAATGTTTAATTTATAACTGATGTTCTCATATTTATAACTTATTTCTTTAATAGAAATTTTAAAATGTAAATAATATTAATTTGAATTTTTAGAATCGTGTGATTCTTCTCCCCAGAGGCTCTACACATTCAAGTGGGGATCTTCATTTCAGCATTGTACTTGAAGCTCATGGGAATTTTATATGGTGATGGAAATATAATAAAATATAACTCTACCCTCTTATTAAGATCTGTCTTGTCAAAGTGACTAAAACTTGGGTAGGTCTGCGTCCCATCCAAATATGATCTCAATATTTTTAAAGTTATTACTTGTTTTCTGAAGGCGGACGGAACTGATTCTTCTATCCGAAAGCTATTAACCAATTCTGTTCCTTTTGCTTGTTTTATACATAAGAAAAGAGTTTTATTTCATATCCTAAAACTATTTAGTTTAATACTACCTCCGATCCTATTTATAAGAGCTAGTTGACTATTTAAGGAGATTAAGAAAAGAAGTTAAGTTAGTTATTTGTAATAAATATGTGTTGTCTTTTCTAAAATATCCTTACTAATCAAGTATATTGGCTAGAACTATGATTGTTAGAAAACCTATGTTAGAAAAAAATACATAAATATAAAGATAAAGTGCATTGGGGTCTTATATTTAGAACCAAAATAAAAGTTAAACAAAGTCTTATATTAAGGACTTGAGGTAGTATATATTAAGTGATTTTAA